AATCGGGTGGCAGGCTAGTAATTCTCGAAGCAAGGATATCACTCTCAGTCGAACTCTCTGCATTTTGCAGTGAGGGACCCGGACAAGGCTTTGCCGAGAGGCAGGGTTTCGTCCGGGGTGGTTAGACAGGCCTTGAACCCGTCTAGGCGGGTTCAGAAAGGCCATATGTTTGGCCGAGCCTACGGGCTCGGAGATACCCACTTTAAACCGGCCTTGTGCCACATTTTATCCTCGTGGATGGAGAGATAAATACAGGATAACTACCAACCGCTCCACGTTGGCAGATGTGGCACAAGGCCGAATTTAACGTGGGGTATCTGAGCCCGTAGGCTTGGTCAAAAATTCCCCGTATAAAACGGGGTCGAGTAGCTGTTTCTCCGAGAAGAGACTCTGCCCTTGTCTGGGGATCCTCCCTGCCTGGAGGCATAGAGTTTGGACAGCACAGCTGGAGACGAATCTCCAACTCTAGACTAATTCGCGAAGTAAGGTTATTTACCTTACTCCCAACCCCGCGTGACAGGATGTGGCACAAGGCCATTTTTAATGCGTGGTCAAAACCGAGCAGGTAGACTCGGATAAATATTCCCCGTAGATCCCGTATACACGGGGTCGGGTAGATGTCTATCACCTCCAAACGAGACACTGCCCATCGACATAGCCTCGTCTGGGATCCTCTCTGCACGAAAGCAGAGAGTTCGGCCAGTACAGCAGAAGACGTATCTCCAACTAATTGCCGAAGTAAGCACCCAGGCATATCTCGTGCTTACCATACATACCTATTGATATAGTCAGTCCACATAGGCGTTAGGGAATGTGGGACATTCAATTACATTTATATTTACTAATCGTATCTGGAGGTTCCGGGTGTCCTAATGGTTAAGAGCCGAACGAATGGCATCAGCGATTGAGTTTCATTCAATGATAGTAATATCTGAGATGCGTACGAGACTTAATTCTTCATATTGTCTATTCAATTTTTGACTCCTTCAAATTAACGACGGTCGAATCGAGTGTATGTGGTCTTGGGTCTTTCTTCAAATGTTTGATCTGCTGGTGAGAGTGTGAAAGATATCGAGAATAGAACAAAGACTATATTTTCAACCGATGTTAATAGGCAGATAATGATGACAGGGTTAGACGGTTACGAAGAGGTAATGACCGTATTCTTTTCGTAATGGTTCCTTGCGTACATTGTGCTCAGTTTGGAGGTAAGCATGGTAGCTCTAATAGTAATATCAACCGTTTCCCTACAAGGAAACATTTCATTCATAGACTGAATAGCCAGGACTGCTTTGGGTTGAAATTTATAAAATCTTTATCATAAAAATAATATTTGAGAAAAATAGCTGTTATCGCTCTTTACACTATTGACATTAGCCGTTTCCCTACAAGGACACACTTAGTATTCATTACCGAACAGTGAGTACTGCTACAGGTTGAAATTTATAAAATCTTTCTATTAAAACAATTTTTCAGGAAAATAGGTTTGTCATGTCCAGTAGCTGTTATCGCTCTTTCCAGTATTGATGGGGGTTTCATTTCTAACCTTTTATTTAAAGGTTAACTTCTTATGTCATTATTTGCTTTTCCAATAACAACTCGTGTCCATTTTAGTTTTAGTTGCTGTTGATCGTACTCAAGTGAGATGTTTTCTGTTATTTGGTACCGATCTTTCTATGGGGATAATCACAAAAAAATTACCTGCTTTTCCTGTGTCTAGTGTGCTCCATTCAACGGTAACTGGTGTGGAGGAACGAATATAAGTTCGAAGCCAAAGAGGTTCTGTCGGTATTACCAATCCTCCTCGTGGTAAAGGTTCAAGTTCAACCTTAAAATACGAATAAAACAGAATTCATTTAACATTGTGCTTACTCCCAGGCAGAATGCTCTGTCGACACGTATGTTTCTAAATAAATGAAGGCAAAAATTAAAAGAATTTGCTCTTTCATTATAATTGTAACGACTAAAAAAATCCGTGTAAATTCCAAGGTTTTCCTATTTGAATTTTGTTATGAATGTGAATTCTTCAGTTAAGGATCGAATAAGCTCATGGTGAGTTCTCATGACAAAATGTAACATTCATAGAAATCCCCCAGTCACATCGTTAGATATTTGAACTTAACAACTTCAGTAGCCAAATATTGCAATAAGCATGATAAATATGAATGTTGGTCGTCATTTTAAGAAGTGGGTATAAATAAAAAGATTTGAAATAGACAACTTTTTCCATTTCACTGAAACAGACGTTAGACACTTTACTCCTCCCTTTCATTCATTCATTTATTTTTTTCACTGAATCCAAGTAGTGTTTTTCCTCTCTTTCCATGCGATCAAAACGGAATAGTCCATTATTTATGAGGTTTGTTTGTTGGCTTGTTTGTTTGTTGGTTTCTTTCTTTCTTTCTTTCTTTCTTTCTTTCTTTCTTTCTTTCTTTCTTTCTTTGATTATTTCTTTCTTTCTTTCTTTGTTCATTTGTTTGTTTGTTTGTTTCTTTGCTTGTTTGTTTCTTTCTTTCTAGCTAAGTCTCCGTCTTAAGAAACATTTCTCTTAATAACAATTTTAAAATAATTCAGCAGACAATGTTATTTTATTTATGGTAACAGAATTTTTGGCGATTGCCTTACTCAGTTTCCGTCGTTCGATTCTGTGCGTCTGAAAAATGGCACTTTTATCGCGGTCAATAATAATAATAATAATAATAATAATAATAATAATAATAATAATAATTGCTATAAATACAGTGGTATTTTCAAATGAATATTGTACTGATTTCAATTTAGGAAGATAGTTACGTATGCAAACTACTAACTTCCGGTCCAGGGGCATGAACAGAATAACAGGAGACTTCCATAAGATTTATACTAAGCTGTTTGACTAATTCCTTTGCGTAACTAATTAACTAACGGAAAATTTCAAGATGAACAAGGTTACCAACATATTAATCACGTATCAGTTGTATGCCTTTACGCAGGCGGTGTTTCATTTGTTTTGATGCCTTCATTGCCAGGAAGGCAATTCTTTTCATTGCAAGACAAGCAACATCTGTACAAAGACTTACAATCTTTTGTAGATTTATATATTTTTATACTTGAAAATCTTTTAAAAAATTAACTTGAAGAAGATAGACATACTGTCGAAATATTGTTTAACTTTGTCAAACACTGTTTTTTCTTTTCTTTTTCTTTTCTTAAATACTCTTTTCTTCTTCTTCTTCTTAATAATAATAATAATTCAGTAAACTTACTTTTTTGGTATTTGTTTAAATAATTTCGTGCAGTTTTAAAGAATTTCAGTGAAAGAAATTATTTTGATTTATTTCGATAATTCCATAAATATTTTTCGGTTCCGTTCACTAATATAAATTCTAAATTCTTTATATGAAAACACACTGAATTAAAAACATATCCCCAGAAACACTGTTCACATAAGACATTTCTTTAAAATTTTGAATTAAAAAAAATTAAGTAGTCATACAGGTTTATTTAAAAAGAAAGAGCAGATTTCGAAAATTTAATAAAGACAAATGCTAAGCGAGAGAAAGACATTCAACACATCACTCGATAGGAAAAAGGTTCAAAGTTATTAAAATAAATGAATGCTTTTTTTAAATTTTGTTTAAATGCTTCTTTTTGTTGATTTTTTTCTTCAGATTTTGTATAAATTTAAATTTGTGGAAAAGAGGATTTTGTTCACCGTCTGTTGTCTCCCAGTTCACCAAATCTTACCCCATCAGCTTTTTATCAATGGGGGTATATAAAAGAAATATTGTTTGCCTGCTATTCTTGAAGATTTGAGCCATCAAATTGTTGTAGCTGTGAAGTCAATATCCACAGATCAATTGACTCAAATGTTGCAAGAAGTGGAATACCATTTCGATATTTGCCATGCAACACATGCTGCTCATGTCGAGTGCATACAAGTTGAACAACCTTAAAATAATAAACTTTAAACATTTTCTTATCCAGTAATTTGTTGAAAGTGTTCCTGTCTCTTAGCATTTGATTTTTTATTAAATTTTCGAAATCTGCACTTTCTTTTTAAATAACACTGTAATTTTAAGTTGTTTGAATTTCTTAGACGAAACCTTGTTAATTAATATTAATTTTTGATTCGTATTTTTTTATTTTATTTTTCTTGCTTTTACATCAAGTAGCAATAGGCTTAAAGGTTTTGAATTTCTTAGATGAACGATTATTTTTTTTTGACTGGTATTTCTTTTCATCTAATCTCTCTTGATTTTATGCCTTGTAAGTAAACGTTTTTTAAGTTGTTTGAATTTCGTAAATGAAGAATTGTCAATTATTTTTACCTGTTATTCTTTTATCATATCTCTCTTGAATTTACAACAAACATCAATGGGTGTATATAGCCTGAAATTCATAGATTAAACAACTGTAAATCTTGAACCCCCAAAGAACAAAAAGGACTTTTTTTTTCCTTGACACCGTTAGTATTTAAACTACATTCACTCTTTGGTTTATTGTTTGAAATAGCGATGAGTAGAATTATTTCTAAAGCCTAAACATATAAAAGTGAATATATACATGTTCTTTTTTTCTTGAGAATTGGCAAAAGAAATAATAAATACTATTTATCTGTGACATTATTTATTTATGCTATGTATTTATTAGAATCTTTATTGTTATCAAGTGGTTTCACAGTGGAGGCTTGTATTTGTACTAAGTCGGTCCTAAAATAGGTTCGAAGTACAAAACGTTAGGAACTTGATATAATAGGTAATGACGCAGTAATCTAGTTGTGGTCGCTGATACTTTAATATCCGACTAACGGTCGTCAGACATCGACTGACTGACTGACTGACTAACCAACTCCCTGCCGACCCAGCGACTGCTACTACTCCTACTTATTATAGGTGGGAGAGTCTATTAACAATAGAATAGGTGTGTTTCACTATAACATTTATTTCGATTGTTGACAAAAACATCGACAATCGATTCAAACTTTCCATATAGTTTGTTTACATATTTTAAAAAATTAGTAAATGTTTATAAATTTATGAATAAAACATTGTTTTCATATTTATTTCTTTATAAATCGGTAAATAGTTAATATTGTATTTTTAAAAATCATCTAATCTTAAGCAAGGTCATACCACCAAAACACAATGGCTTTACTGAGTGTTAGAGACTATGAGAAAAAAACTGTTAAGGAGATGACAATAAAAGAACAAGAATTGAGAAGACAGTAGTAGGACTTAAATTTTTGATGATCAAAGTTGACTAGGAAGCAAGAAGCCGGAAGAGATTTCTACAAGCGAGAAGTGCGAGAGAAGAAACTGTTAGCATAGAACTGACGGTTACATATATCCATTTCAACTGTAAAATAAGGAGACCTTACAGCCAATCTAGTACTGCGCTTAAAGTCTAGGCACTATCGAGAAAACTAATATTTATTTTGAATAATACAAAAATGTTGCAGGAGTTCAAAAGCGGGGGGAAGGGGAAGGCGGGTCTTCACTTTGTCTTATCTTAAACTTAGTTAACCACGATTACTCACCCAAATATACCACAGTATTCCTTACATCAAAACAACACATTCTTGCTTACCATTCTTACTACAGCCACCCTAATACCACAAAGTCTCTATGTAGTCCTAACTATTTCCTATATGTACAAGTTGTCTGGGGTGGAGGGATAAATAAAAGAACATAGTGGAAAGTTCATCAGAACAATTACCATGTAAGTATTCATAGAAAAGGCTCATGGTAGCTACGTTACAACGGTGGGAAAGGGACTGCCTTACATTATTTTTTTTTAAATACAATTATATTAGTTTTCAGAATGAAAATATAATTTTTGTAAATATAAAATTATTTTTGTAAATAAAAAAAATCTAATAAATAGTGTTTTATACATTTTTGTAAATTCTCAAGAGCAGAAAATGTATAAATTCACGTCCATCATATATTTAGGTTTTATTCAAATTCTAATAATCGCTTTTTGAAACAATAAACATTGCCTGAGACGTGAAGGTATTTAAAATAATAGCGGTATCAAGAGAAAAAAAACGTCCTTTTCACAAATCGTAATTTTTTTCTGGCAAGAAGGTTCATATTTGCCAAACAAGTTCAATTATTACATTTTTTTTTAGCTATATATCATTCATTTTTTCTTTTATCGAAAGTGATGGCGAAAGTGACGTTTTATTGAATAAATCTGTTTACATTTTTCAATTCACTGGCAATTTCTTGCTGACTAAGAAGAGAAAGTAAAAAAACAATTCTTCCGCATATAAAAATTCTTCTTACTTCAGGTGGGTCTCCTTCCGTCACTTCAATTATTGTCTTGGCAAAAGCTTTCCTTCTTCCTTTATAAACGTTAACACTAAAACTGTATTTATTATTTGCTTGTAGGTCGCTAATTGCCAGTCTTAACAAAGGAGAAGTCTTGGAGCTGTGATTCTTGAATGAAGTTCCGATATAGCAGGGAAATATTTGTCCTTGTGATTCCTGTAAAGAAAAATGGAAAAAATATCGATTTAAATATACGTTATGGGAATCCTGCTCAGAAAATTAAGACTATAAATATTGTGTTTACAAAAAATCATTTCATCCCCATGCAAGGCAATAAAGTCACTAAAACGCAAGGAGTTACTGAGTGTTAGAGAATATAAGGAAAATAATATTAAGGAATGAGAACAATAAAAGAACAAGAATTAAGAAGAGAGGATGATGATTTATGGAATTAACACATTAATTCCATCTATATTTTACGCGCGCGCGAGTTTCCTCCCTTCCTTTCACACTCGTGCGTGTGTGCGCGCGGTTTGCACCCCTTCCTTCCTCTCACAGCTAGACGTAGCAGTAACCTGGAGGAAGAACTTCGCTAGCTCCTACTGATGAAGTCAGACTAACAGATTTTGAATTTTTTCCCGCGCGTTTCGCGGCGTCTCAAACGGCCAGCGTTTGCAAGCCAGTTGTTTCCCGGTCCTCAATCTGAGTAGACGGGCAACTCATTTATTCCGTGCCCTTAACCCATATGCGGGCCGGAATATCTTATCTCAACAATGTCGACCTCACACTTTACCAAGACCTCTTCTCGTCTTGAAGCTGCCCGCAGGTCAGACCTTTCTCCGTTTTCGACCAGAAGACGTTCGAGACACACGACACAGTCGTGAGCAAAACTTCGTATTCAACAAGTGGCTTATTTTTATCCCTCGTCAGTCAAACTTGAAATACAGATAGGGATATCCTACTGACGAACAACTTGCTATCCGCAGGTTAGACCTTCTCCGTTTTCGACAAGAAGACGTTCGAGACACACGACAGTCGTGGGCAAAACTTCGTATTCAACAGGTGACTTACATTTATCCCTCGTCAGTCAATAGTAAATACAGACAGGGATATCTTACTGACGAACAGATATTCTTCGTCCCTTCTGGACTCGCCATAATTAACTTCTCATAGACGATGCAACCAACCGCAACTAGCTCTTCGTCTTTTTGGCTAGACGTCCACAGCATTCTGTTAAAATTTGACCTGACCGAACTCTGAGACCCTACTTTGAACCTGAACACAAAAGAAAAAAAAAAAAAAAAAAGAAAAAACACAAAATCACATACACTCTCAATTCATTGGACTCTAATCTGCTTTGAACCGGTACCTTAAAAATATGCATAACATCACTCTCAACGCCAAAAAAATCCACAGTGAGTACTCCTTTCTATCTGTGCGCACATACACCTCGTGTTTAACGAGTTCCCTTTACCAGAACCTTATAAAACCCTTTTCCCGCCTTGTTCATCTTGCATTTCTATTTAGGCGCGGAACCTTTCCTTGATCTCGTACCACGAGATAATCTACTTGTTTCCATCTAATAAAAGTTACACATGTTTTACAAACAGACGTCTTTGTCATTTTATTCCGGCTATCTCTTTGATGTTTATTAATTTATGCACTCGTTGATTGACCCCTTTCCTCTCACTGTTCATTCACGCATTATTATTTTTTTTTTATACATTGCTTGTGGACTCGGTAGTTTATTGTGGTGTCTGGTACAAGGCCACTTTGTAATAAACCAGCACTGCACGCTGCCGGGTCCGCAACAGATTAACGTTGTAGTTAAATTTTTGAAGATCAATATTGACTGGGAAGCTAGAAGCTGAAAGAGAGTTCCACAAGTGACAAATGCATTATAGCATATGTTACGGTTATATTTAACCGTTTCAACTCTAAAATGATGAGACCTTTCCGCCAATCTAGTATTACACATAAATTCATAAAGTCTAGTTACCATAGGGAAAAGTTCATCAGAACAATTGCAAGTATTTATAGAAAAGGCGCAAGGAAGCTACGTTGCGGCAGTGGGAAAGTAACTGAAGCCAAGATGCCAGGTCAGGACCAATAACATTGTGGATTCTTCCTTGGATTTTATCAAGGTTCTCTAAATATATAGCAGGAGCACTAGACTATATATTGTGGCAGCAATATTCAAAGCATGGACGAATGGTAGACTCCTAACTATGTCGACGATTTTGAATTAGTTCTCGTAGACTGATTGCCACCAAAGTCTGGATAGTATAGTTTACCCTACTATTTAACGTAGAGTTGGTGAGAAAAGAGCTGGATTCGTGTTTTTCTCAAGGTCAGTAGAGGGAACGCGAGCACAACACTGGGTGGAAATTTGAATTTGGCTCGCCGACTACATTTTCGACGCCGATATCCGTCACGCTGTCAACCCATACATCAACATTTCGTACTGCGAGCAAACAGCATATGAATAGAGAACGAAACATATAAATGCATAACATACATTTAGATTGCCGAAACATGTGCAAAAGACTTTGGTTCCAAAATTGCAATAATCTGTAATTATAACATCAAATTCCACTTTCAAATACTCGTCTTGCCTTCGAAGTTTTCCTTCCTTCCGAGCCCTGTGAATAAGATTCACGTTCTTGTATGTATCAAGAACGAAACGAAACAAGGATCGGTTGTACAAATTCTTCTGTGAGAGGTGACAAATATTCACTTTTTAACAGTACTTGCACACCTCTGAATTTAAAATTTGGATATTTTTTTATGGAAGACTTGATATACAAATCTATATAGCAGAGTAATAGTGGCTAAAAGTATCAAATTTTACTTCTTATATATGGTGTGAATAGTTGCTTTTTTGAGTTTTGATGTACGTGTTCAATAAATTACAAAAAACGATAACACTGGTTATATAATCAGCTAGTATTGAAATAATTATGCGTTCCCATAAAAAAAATAATTTCCAAAGCATTCCATTAGTAAATATCATTTCCAATGCATTCCTATAGTAAAACACATTTCCAATGCATTCATATAGTAAACGACATTAACAAGTGATTCCTACAGTAAAAACCATTTCCAATGCATTCTTATGGTACAAAACATTTGTAATGCATTCCTATAGTAAAAATCATTTCCAATGCATTCCTATAGTAAAAATCATTTCCATTATATTCACACAGGAAGAATCATTGGCAATGCATTTCCATAGAAAAATAATTCTAATGGATTCCTATAGTAAAAATCATTTCCAATGCATTCCTATAGTAAAAATCATTTCCATTACATTCACACAGGAAGAATCATTTGCAATGCATTCCCATAGAAAAATAATTCTAATGGATTCCTATAGTAAAAATCATTTCCAATGCATTCCTATAGTAAAAAAATAATTTTCAATGGATTCCTATAGTAAAAATCATTTCCATAGAAAATTAATTTCCAATGCATTCCCATGGTAGAAGATATTGACAATGGATTCCTATTGCAAAAATCATTGGCAGTGCATTCCTCTAGTAAAAATACATTTCCAATGCATTCCTATGGTAAAATCATTTCCAATGCATTCCTATAGTAAAAGTAAATGGGAATTAATCTCCATAGTAAAATTTATTGTCAATATATTTTTAGTAAAAATCAATTGCGATGCATTCCCATAGTAAGCAATTGGTTCCTAAAGTAGGAATCATAGCAACTGAATTTCTATAGCAAAATTTATTGGCAATGTATATCTGTAGTAAATTTCACTATTAATATAACTCTATAGTAAAATCATACCCAATGCATTTCTATAGTAAAATTAATTACTTACATTCCTAAAGGAAAAATAACCTATATTGATTGTAAATTCAGTCCAACTCCATTGCCTGTAAATTAGATCTTGAGTAAATTGAAGCCTATTCAGTATTGCTATATTATTTTAATTGAATTTATATTCCTTTTATCCATCTCATTCCTTGTTTTACTATTCATTTGAATCCTGTATTGGTAATGTTTATGTTCATATCCTACCTGAAGACAAGTCCAGTCAAATTTCAAGTCAGGGTCAGCAGTTCCGTCATAATCCGGATCGTAGGACAAACTGGCATCGAGCACCAAATTTTGTGTACTGTCCACTCCAACGGTACGAAATTCTCCACCTTAGATAAAACAGGAAAAAATCCGTAACTGAAAATAGTGTCTACGATTTGTGTAAAAATTTTGACATTTTATGTGACGTCCGTGCGATTCTCTCTATCTACGAGAATATTTCGGATTTTTAACGATGTATCATTTGCCAATTCCAAGCCATGATTAGTTTGCAGACCGAGAAACATACATTATAGGAATTTAGAGGGAGAAGAGAAATGAAAAAGGTAGTTGGAATTCGGAAAAGAACAAGACAAGAACGCTAAAAAGCGAAAGAAAAGTTGGTGAAGGGAAATATATATATATACTAGCTACTGGGCGGATTTTAAAGCTAGCTCTTGCAGAAGTCTCTTGATTAGGCCTTCATCTCAATAGAAAGGGAGGAATAGATGCGATAGGCAACAATAAACTACAGAAGAACTCAAAATTGATCAGTGCATTTAAGGATTGCAGTAAAATTTAAGCTCACCTTTCAAAAGTTAAACGATAATTCTTCTGTCAGTACTTAATTTAAAGACAATTTTAGGTTCGTAGGTCCTTAATTTCCGTACAAACAATTATTTTTATTTCATGGATGACTTTCTCTGGATTTTGCAATTAATTTTGATTATTCCCAAACTTATTTCCAAGTGATAAAAATTGGGATGATACGAAAACAATTCGTCGCAAAAATCATGTAAAAAAATCGCCGAAAATAAACGCAGTAATGAAAATTTTGGAATCCCAAATTTCAGGATTGCGGGTCTGGATCCGGCTTGAAATGTTTTTAATTTGCTCATGGACTTGGCCTGATTCCAAAATGGTATGATATATTGGGCTACGGCCTCTAGGAGTATAGTTGAAAAAGTGTGACATACTGGCACACTGGCATTGGCATTTATTATATAGTAGAAGATGAGCTATTGAGAATTGTGTCCCTTTAATTGAAAAAAGTCGACAAACTCACATTGGCATTATATATATATATATATATATATATATATATATATATATATATATATATTCAAGTTTTTCGTGCTACATAATTTAATAATAGATAGGAAAAGATAATATTTATAAGGCATTTTTAAAAGCAAAAGCTAAAATAAAAACAACCGGTTTCGTCCCAAGTCTTATCAAATTTATTTATTCTGGGAATTTAAAAAAGCGTGTAAATTAATATATATATATATATATAAGTTTAAACGTTATAGTTAGTTGATACTGGTATTTGAGTAGACGCTACGTTTATTTATTAAACAGTATATTTACTTATTTTTACCTACCGGCCTGAATGTTCGAGAAGCCTTATTAAAGTAAAAAATCACGCTCTTTCCAAAACCAATTTTTACCTTAATAAGATTTCTCGAATATTCAAGCGGGTAGGTGAAAATAAATAATTAAATAAACATACTGCTTAACCCATTCCCTGGGGGGAAAACTTTCACTTTTAGACGATTTTTTTTTTAATTTGACCATGGCAAGCCGCCAAGCTGGATCTGTGGTTTAACCTCGAGATAGGATGGGATCCACCAGATCTACTCACACACTATCCATGAATGAATACTTCTCTGGCCTCCAATACAGATATGTGGAAGGAATTGGTCAGTGGCACTACGATGACGGCGACAATGTTGTTGATGATTATTAAGCAGCAGGAATTCATTCAAATTTTTTTTTTAAATCGACAGTATTCGTCTGTTTCATCTTCTGTTATATTTTGTCCAATTTTCGAATCATGGACATTGGGATCAAAATTGTGTGTAATACTGTCCAAAGTTCATGTTTTGTTCTGCTTTTAGATCTTGTACTTTCGACCGTCTGGGTTGAATTGGATGTTTGTCAGTACGAGAGATAAGATTTTGTTGGCTTGCATCTTGGCATCTCTTGGAACATATAAATTCTATTTAAATATACATGTAACGTATAAGTGACGTCACGTGTAAAACAGTTTCACATAACATGGCTACACCGGAAAATACTCAATATGCGCGGATCTATTCTTATACAGATGGAGCAACTTGCATTTTGTAACATCCACCGCGACCCTCTCTCAAGCTTTTCTCCGACCAGCCAATAATTACCCACCCCTGTTGCATTTCATATGTCAATCTCGTCAGTGTGTACCGAAAGCTAGGAAAGGGCCCGCTGCATGATTCCAAAGGTAACAAGATAACAGACAAACGCCAGGTTGAGGAATAAGATAAGAAGGCGAACTCTGTTTCCCATATTATAAAATAGATGTCTTATTCAGTGCTTCGCCTGCTCCTCTGGGGGGGGGATAGATAAGTGATACTGTGTTAGCCTAACAGTTCATCACTTCCACCTATTTCTTTCACTCACAGTAATCTCTTTCGTCTTAGTGGCTTTATCGTCTTGCTTCCTCTTGTCAACTCCTCACTTATCTACTCATTCCGACGTGATGGCTGGCAACATGAATGAACGGCACAGGATCCAGAAGACGGATCAGACAAAGACAGACTTCTCTCCGATCTCAAGCATGACTGAGATCGGCATATTAGTGTGTTGGTCAATATAAACCAGCACTCGGATATACACTATTTCCGATTTTGTTGTCACTTTATCTCCAAAAACTCTTCCTCCATTTCTTTACTTCCCATCTCCTTTCTCTCAAAGTGATTGCTGCTTAGAAGACGGAACCTCAAAAGGAACTATCTGCTGCTCCATCAAACAGTAATACTTGACTTCCTCTCTTTCTACGTGGGTCTTCGTAGTATCACAATTTAAATAAAATATTCATGACAGGGTGGTATTTTAAAGTGTTTATAAAATATTTAATATACGTGCAAAATAATAATAATAATGATAAATATAAAAGATTTGATACATGCTTTTTTCGGTGTAGTCAAGCTTCGTCGTTTTACCGGCAACATTTAGTGCTTGATAATGACTTTTTTTTTTTACTTACCACGGATTAATGCTATAAGTGGTGAGTCCTTCACTGTAACTTGAATAGAACTCTCAGAGAAGATGGTTGCATTATCTTGACGACTGACTTTAACCATGAACATGACAACAGAGCCACCTAACAACAAAAAGAAAAGCAGATATAGTGTTATAATATTATATAATTCGAACTCGGTTCTCCGATTACGAGTTTGAATCAAATATATATATATATATATATATATCAATATAATTATTTTTTATAAAAAAATTATAACATAAGTATGTTATAAAATCACTACAAAAATAGCCATTTTGTTTCAACATACTCTGTGTCTTATCAAGTGATGATGTTGAAAATAAAATAAATGGTTTTAAAAGTTTCAGATTAACGATCCTACACTAGGTGGAAACATTGTTACAAAAGCTAGAATAACCAATCAAAAACCAAGTATAGAAAGATTCAAAAGCTTTACAACGAAATCATGTTATAATAGCTATTCAGATCTTTAAAATACATGTAATATTATTATTATTTCCATATATATATATATATATATATATATATATATATATATATATATTAGACTTACTATTTACTATAACAAGTTTATACATATACATTAGACTTATTATTTACTATAACAAGTTTAAAAATTGTAAATTGTGGAGTATAAGTCGAGTTTTCAACCCTAAAATCACTGAGTTGTAAAAAAGTGGGACGGTACTCCAAACAATTACTGTATAGCGCTCATCATACCTGGTATGATGTATAATCTAGGATATTAATATTTTATCGGGGTTGATGTTGACTTTAATGAATTCGTCAACAGACCTGACTAATTTTAAATGTTCTATCCGTTATATGGTACCTACCGATGTCTGTTGTAGATTTTTTCCTATACAACGCATACAGAAACATATTACGGTTACTGTCACAATGTACAGCTAAATGGGGTGAGCGTATGTAGGTTTGGCACAGGTATATATAGCCTAACTTCGTTTACCTGTAGGCTTAAGGTTTGGGCCACTGGTAATTTTACCGTATGTCTAGAGGTCGACCTCTACGGTAGAACTCAGAATATCGAGTTAAAAAACATTGTGGTAGACTTATACGCGAAGTTCGCTTGACGATGAAACAGGGTCTGTTACTTTAACTCAATTTAATTTTAATAATTATATTGAGTGTTTTGGCTCTCGTTTTTAAAACATGAGAACTCTTATGTAGCTAAGGAATCATATTTTTTTAAAAAGTAATTATAATGTAAGCTCTACTTCTGTATGGAGCACTGTTTTTTAAAAATACAAACAAAAATACTAAAGAACTTTTAATAATCGCAATTAAATTCAACACTTTTCCAAGTTGTCTTTCTTACCGGGTAATTTATTCTTTTGCACTCTGTATCTGTTCAGACTTGCCCATTTCGGGTCCAAATTGAGCAACTTATTGTTGGCTTTTGCTGACCAAAGGTAAGTAACTCCCGCAGACACACATGGCGGAAGGATAACGTTGGCGTGAAGATGAAACCTGTTAGTAAAATAAAACAAAATGGCGTGATTAAGGCATGACTAGGCGAAAAAGTTTTCAAGAATCAGTTTAAAAAGGGCGTATCATTTAGAGCGATGTTTTCAAAACTTCGCTCGTCCGATCTATTCTGATTTGACGTCTCACAATCTTAGTCTGTACCAATTATATGAATGAAAAGACAACAATTCTAGAACTGGGTAGCCATTGCTAATAATTGCCATCATGCTAAGTGAGTAGCAACCGTAACCATTGCTACAAATTGTCATCATAATCGGATGTTCTATGATGGTAGCCCTTTGCCATACGAAGTGAAGTTTATTAAATATCTCATTGGATAGTACCTGTCGGGCGAGAATTAGCTAGCTAATCTCGCAAGTAATTTTCAACATCAATGCTATGCTAAATATATATCCAAAATATTTCTTTGGTAAATAATCAAGTCACAAATGGAGATCTTCACTGATATCTGCCATGAAATCTTATTTATGGCTCTGGGTCAACTGATCATCTTTCAGATTGTTCATTCGATGTTCGAGAAAATATCTCGTCTTGAGATACGGTGGTGCGGACTTTATGCAGTTTGGCAACCGACCGAAAACTGACACTCTCTCAAGGGGTTACTCAAACCGCTGTCAGCCGCCATTGAGTGAACTTGTGTGAACGTCACGCTGTCAATGACGAAATGAATAGATCCCCGAAATGGAGAATTTCTTGGGAAGGGTATGTAAAATATCACGTCACCCATGTCCGTCATCCCACCTACAATACAGATTTTGTCTCCTGTCACCAGTGAAAGGAGATTTCAGTCTGTGGACGATATTAAAATGAACTTATTTTCTTGTGTATAATATAACATGTCCCCTGTGTTCCTGAAGCTATAAACAGGGAATAAATTATATCCTTGAGTATAATACGACCCCTATTTTGGAATCTTGAAACGAAATAAATTATATCCTTGAGTATAATAGGACCCCATATTTCTGAAGCTAAAAACAGGGAATAAATGACATCCTAGAATAGAATACGACCCCGTGGTACAGTCATCCGTCTGTAATTTTCTTTTTGAAAAGTTGCAACATATTATCCATAAAAATATCAATGTCGTACATATATTTCACTAAAATATTTAATGTTTCACGATATTAAAGAAAAGAAATGAACTTGATGTTTAGACATTGCATGTTTCTACTCCTAATTTCCGTTTCAAAACTTTCGAATTTTCAGCGAAAGGTTATTTGTTGTAACATCAATGTTATCAAAATATGTCAGATCTTGTGTATTTGCTTTATTAGTTTTTTTTTTTATTCAGTTTCGGTGAATTTTCTGTCTTTGAGACAAAAGATATGGAATTATGTAAATTATCCCAAAATAAATATTACCAACAAATGCCTTTTGTAAAGAATTGTTAGCAACACCTGCCTACTTTGTGTTTTTTTGTACTGAGTGTATTTGAAATTTTGTTTCAAATACAAGGTGTTTTAAGCTGAGGATATACTTTTGAAAATGTATACTAGACCCCTTTTTGCCTTTAATTGTCTTATACACACGAAAACTCGGTAAAGGCGAAACAGATGACAGTTCTTTGAAAAAGAGTGTGGAAACTGTTTTAAAAAGAAGAAATGTGTGAGATTTCAAGCGATGTGCTTTTACAATGACGATATTCAGTCACCCCCGACGAGGGTGACATGTGGCACAAGGCCTTTTTAACATGGGCATTCCGAGCACGTGGGCTCGGCCAAAAATATGCCCATTGAACCCGTATAAACGGGTTCAGGGTCGGTTTACCTCCCCGAAGGAGACTCCGCCCTTCGGCGTAGACTCCTTCGGGTTCCTCCCGCCCGTAGGAAGAGAGTTCAACCGAACAGTCGGTATTGAACTTTTACAATGACTCGACCTTAGGTAGAGATTTTTTTTCGTTAATATTAAATAGCCGGATTATTTCCATTTAGATTTCTAGATGATTTGTTTTATCATCAATGCTGTTTCAACTTGAAGGTAGGTCAGGATGATTTCTATTCTTTAGCATGGCTGTTCGTTTCCGGGCCTGCCCGACTGCTCAGGCTTGTTTATCTTCGACGTCCAAAGACTATCACATTCAACTCTGATGAATGGGCCTTAGTTATAGGTTAATTACGTGATTCTATATACGGTTTGGAAAGTTATTTTTCTTCTAGACTAGTTGCCAACCACGGCTAGAGAGCCCAATTTGCAGTGCTATTTAACCCATATCGGGGGAGGAGTGCAGGATTCCCAAAGGTATTTCTGCGAAAGTACGTGTGTCGAAGTCGACCGGAATTCGCACTCGGCTCTTTGATTTCTCGTTCCAAATCGCTAACCTGCACACCACCTGCACACCCACAACCGATTGGTCATCATAAAACGAACTGCAAGCAATTGCAAGTCTAGGTTCTGTTTGTCTTACGTGTCTGAAAGCTGTACGTTGCTCGTATCGACATTTGATGTGATATACACAATCGGAATCGCCTGGCTCTCACGGACAACTTCTAGGGTCGATGTAATCCAGTTGGACATAAAGTTGGTAACTTTCAGTGTTAAGGAATATTTCTTTCCTTCATTCAATTCAGTCGTGTTGACTTCGAAACTGCTCAGATTCCCAACTGCAAAGAAAGAAAAAAAGCCTTCAATTATATTACTTTCCACACACACACACACACACACACACACACACACACATATATATATATATATATATATATATATATATTATAAATTAATTGATTTAAAATATGGTTTTTTTCGCTACACAGTTCCAACCATGTTTCAAAAATAGAAGCTAAAAACCCCGAATTTAATTTTGCAATTAAATTAAAAGCATTAGTTCCATTTCATCTTCAAGCGAATTTTGGAGTATATATATATATATATATCACTCAGTTATGTGCCATGCGTGATACACGCTTAGGTGATCATATATCTTTTCGATACATGACTGACGAGGCAGATTTTTTTTCCCGCATTAGGTTGCCATTACTTTCTGCGGTAGACCAGTTGTCATCCATACCTATAGAACCTGGGCTGTTCTACTACTTACCCATAGCTGGGAGAGAGAGAGAGAGAGGGAGAGAGAGAGAGGATTCATCCCATTCCCAATTGTATTAGCAAGTGAGTGAATGCAATGGATTAGACTGGAATTCGAACTCGGCTCTCCGATCCCCAATCCGAGTCGCTATCCATTATTCTGTGCTTATATATATATATATATATATATATATATATATATATATATATATATATAATGATAATATTAATAATCAGTATGGATATTTCCAAAAGAATATAAATTCAGGGAGAGCTCTATGTAAAAAACAGAACATTATATAATTATTATTATAAAGAAAACGAACTCTTAAAATCTCATGAGGTGATATTTATTTCGTTAAGGTCGGACCTTCTTTCCGACCTTAACAAAATTAATATCACCTCATGAGATTTTAAGAGTTCGTTTTCTTTATAATAATAATAATTATATAATTCTGCAATGCTCTTCCATGAATTGAGCCCTCTCGGTCATTGGTGTGTTTATTCGAAGAATAAGTACGTAAAAATGAGCCTTCTTCTCAATCGGGTGCTGATAGTTCAGGTAAAATCTCCGACTGATGCCAAATCAGTCCGGTTTCGATCCCAGCCTGAGGCAATCGGATGTCTAACCACACTGATGAGCTGTGATACAGCGAAACAGTCTGTGCATGATAATATATACTCCCCTCACCGGAAATTTTGATTCCAGTCGAGTACTTTCGGAAGAAAGTGCGAATTTGTGAACAATGACAATTATTTCTAATAATGCAAAGCTCTTCCATGAATTGAGCCATCTCCGTCATTGGTGTGTTTATTCGAAAACAAGTACGTAAAAATTAGCCTTCATCTCCACTGGGCGCTGATAGCTCAGGGGTAAAATTTCCGACTGATTGCCTCAAGCCGGGATCGAAACCCAACTGATGCCAAATAAGCTAAGTAAAGTATTAAGAAACAGGAAAACTTTGCTAGAAATACCAAAACATAAAGACTACTGGACTATTAAGTAATATCTGTGCTCTTATATGGCAGTGAATTCTGTAAAATCTCTGCATAGATGAAGAAAGTTGAAGAGATAGAAATGTGATTCTACAGACGTATGCCTAAAATATGAAGGAAAAAACATGTGAGCAACGACAAAGTTTTAGATGAAATGGAATTGTTCATTTTCCTTAACACTCGCACAAGGGTCCTTTTTGTATCCATTTTCCTAAGAACCTTCTTTGTTGCTCGTGTCCTGTCCATGCCTAGAGTATTCCCAATATCCATCTGTATAACTATATTTCTTTTGCCTTCCAGTATTCACTTTTATTTAAAATGAAATTTCTGTTTCTTAAATACTTTGTTTAGCTTTTAAAAGGCATCTTTCGCTATTCCAATGAACTTGCTGATTTTCCGGCGTCCTTTATGACAAATTTCCGATATTTAAATTTCTGCCCATGTTTGTTGCTGATGGCGTCTGGATTTCGTAGCTCGCATCTTGCGTTGCCTCTATTGCTAACGGCCATACAAGCTGTCTTTTTGCACTCGATCATCAGTTTTTTTTCTTTCTTCCTTTCCTTTACTAACTTGTCTCGAACAGCAGTTTCTGTGTCTGCAATCAACACAGTGTATATCTTATAGTGTTAAGACTGTGTTAACCAATAATTAATGCCGATAGAAGTTGGTGTATATAATACTAAGATAGATAAATTCTTCTTTATGTTCCATGTCCGTTCAGGACGTAGGGAATCATGGCTCTCCACAATTTCCTGTCATTTATAGCTCTTAATAAATTTTACCTTTTTGTTATTTCTCCTAAACCCTGTTCCGCTATCAATTTGCTCAAGCTCACTATGTTATACGTTATTTTCCTCTGTTCCTCTTGCTTTCAATCAATCTTGTGAGTATCAAATTTTCCAAACCCTCTTTCCTCATTATGTTCGCTAGAAATTTCAGTTATTCCTTCCTGATGTTAAGTATAAGGCACCCATTTGTTTCCATTTTCTTTAAAACATTTTTCTCGTGTGTTTGGTTTGTGGTATTCTCAGTATCCGTCTGTAGAGCCACATTTCAGTTGCTTCAAGTCTCTTCTTCGTTTGTGAGAAGATTGTCCAGAATTCCTACAATCGTCAAAAATTTAAATGCAATGTCAGTCGCCTCTTCTTTTCATGACTCCTGTATTTTTCTCCACACTAAAATCTTTTCATTCTATTTCACTCCCAGTAACACCTTGCATCTTAGTGACATTATCGCCTTACTTGGAATGAAATAATTAAAAACAAATGAAAAAAACAAACACCATTGTTGCATTTAAAGGATGAAAAAGGTAGACCTACAATAAAAAAAAACATAAAATATTAACAATCGGATGAAAGTTGATAAAAAATATTATTCCTTTACAATGATTAAAAAAAACACGAAAATCTGTATGACTTACCTAAAGTGTTCAAGCTCCACTCATAAAGAAGGTCTCTGCCGCCTGCGCCGGTGCTCTTTGTTCCAGAGAAAAGCACTGTACCACATACGGGTAATCTAGTGGGCCCAGTAATGATCGCTTTAATTGGTAAGGGCTTTGATGGCTTCGTTACGGTGATTGAACCATTCAAAGCCAGTGCATATAGTTCACCGTCGACCTTCACGGATCCGCTTTTAAAAGTTAAATTTGACCCTAGAAGTTGGATAAAACAAAGTGATGTTAAACGCCTGGAAGAGAAAATCAGTGTCCATATGTGGGGTAATCGGCATTTGGATAGTTTCAAAGATTGGTAAGAAACATCTACGCCGATGATACGACGATATCCGGGTGCACCTCTAAAACTCTTGATGATTGGAGATTGGTAGGTGACCTCTCTTCAGATCCAGCACTAACTGACAAGCTGACTGGTTATATTCAATGCCTCGAAAACTAAACTAGTCACATTCCATCATCCCCGACCAGACCCCGAACTACCCCCAGTCGCGATGAACGGATGTCCCCTCGAGGAGGCACGGTGCCTTGAGAGAATATTGGGTCGCTAACTGACACCCAGTCTCAAGTGAAACTCGTACATACGATCCATCACTAAAGATGCAGGTCCTATACCGCTCCAGTAAGTACCTGACCCCTCATGTTATCCTCTACACTTGTGAGCCAGTTATCTTTCCCTCTTATTCGTACAAACTGCCTCTTAACATAAACCTCTGCCCCGTGTATCCCCATGGCCTTGTGCAGTGTGGACCTTACTGTAAAAAAGGAAAGAAAAAAGTCAGTTTGAACTAAATAAGCCTGTGAGAATATCTTTTTGTTTTCTAATGCGTTTGGACGTATTGCTGATGGTATAAAGCTTTGTAAAAGAAGACTAATTCTTTCACTTGTTATTCTACTCGTACAGATGCATGCTGGGATCTCTTTCTCGCCAATAAGATAGATCACTTCTCGGTCACATCCGCCATATTTTGGTGCTTTCTTTTTTCTTTTTTTTTAAAAATCAGAACGCTAAAACCACTTGCCTGTATCCCTTTTGGGTAGGTACCACCCGAAAATCGCTGAAAAAATATAGTATGATAAAAACTAGGTTTTATCGTCAAAATCTTTATGTTGAAAGAGGGAAGACCAAAGAATTTTTAAAATATTTAATTATATTTTTTTTCATTATTTTTAGAACATTCGAAATTTTGTTTAATAAATTACTATAGCAAATTTTAGCGTCTATTTTGCGATGAAAGAAACATTGATTTGGAAATTCTTGCAAAAATCAAATAATTGTTGAATTTTAATGAAACTTTCAAGACTTATACACAAATGAATGAAGTCTATCTTTGTTTATTCATATCTATCTATCTATCTATACATACATACATACATACATACATACATACATACTTATTCCCACTATGATATGAATTACTGCACATGTTAAACAAAAACAAATATAATAGGATCGTAACCTTACCTGGGACGATCAAATTGTCCCCCTGTCCAATGACGATCGACAAAATTCTCAAGGACTGCCAAATGCACTTTGCTCCTTTACCCAGAGAATTTATATCAGTGAAAATCTGATCACAACTGTCTAATTTTGATGTATCGATCTTCTGCCGGAATGTGATATCGATTTCCGCCCCTATCAAAGACAAATTATCAAGCATTCAAGACAATATAGCAGTATTTTTTTTTCAAATATCTACATACAGTATAAGGGTTATAAGTTTGACGTAGGATGTTGGATGAAATAGATTCTATGAGGACATTTGCGAGTATGTTCAAAAAGTTGAAACTCAAAAGAAATATTTTTTGTTAAATTTGTACGTTTTTATTTAATTTATTTTATAAATAATTCCAGATTGTCATTCTATGATCATTAAGTAAGCTATACGGATCGAAAACGGGCCGCTTCTTTGTTGCATTTATTAAAGTATTTCGATCGCTTTAGTCTCTGGCCTTCTGCTTGGGAATACCAGGTTGGATGTGCGGTTGGTGTAATGTATAATGGCTCGGAATTGTTAATTAGGGAGCCGAGTTCCAGTTCCATTTGAGTTCGTTTTAATCACTTACCCGTAGATACTCTTGGGAAAAGTATGAATCCACCTCTTCTCCCCAGCTATGGGTTAATTAGTAAAGCTTGTATCACTAAACTATTATTATCTCTAAAAGATTCTTACAGTCTAAAAATATATTCAGGCTTTTTCTCCTTTCTCAGTGGATCAGGATATTGGGGATTTCATTAAAGTATTTCATGTCCACCGTAACAGATAATCTCCATATCCCAAGTGGCAATTCCCGCCTTGCTCCTGAGGACATTGACTTCATTCACCTCTCCAAATTTTGTAAAAAAATGCCCCCATTCTATCTGGGCAAATATCCATTGGCAACCCATGGATGGTGACTTTAGTCCTGCGAGTGCCCATGTACTCGGTTTGGAGACGTAAATCCTTGGTGTTCCGGATACTGCCCGCCAGCTCTTTGTTCTGTTTGTAGGAGGATGTCCCACAATGCATTTGTCCTACTTGCCAGCACTTTTAGATTGATATTTAACACTTCCATTGCGTCCCAGCTGACCCCAATTAGTTTCCGGGTTTTAATATCGGAAGTCAGCAGGGATATTGACCGCCTACAGGGTTTCATTTATCGTAAAGAAATTCGTTTCCTTCAAACGAATTCTCGAATTTGTCCCTTTGGTTGACATAATAGGCAGCGTCTTTTGTAACCGGCCTATTATCAACCCGGATGCATTTTTCCGTTAACACCGGCGGTGAAGTGTTCATACCCATGTCCTCGGCCATCCCCGGCCGAGACCCAACGAACAAACCGTTCTCTTCCTTGTTCGTTTCGGGTCGTTGCTGTTTATGCGCTCAACGACCGGGAGGAGCGGGTTTCGTATTTTCGGCAGTTGGTGCCGTTCCTGGTGGATTCAACGCGCCTAGTTTTAATGGGGGACAGGAATGTCATTCTGGGCCCCAAATTAGATCTGGGGCGGGGTGCTAGAGGGAGAAGGGGCGATCGTAGCTTCGTTGATCTGATCAACGAATTTGGTCTCGTTGATAGATACAGGGTCGATCACCTCTTAGTTGGCCTTCTGACCTGGTGGTTAGCTACCTGGACAGAATGCTAGTTAGAGAAGCCGACGTAGACTTGTTAGATTGTCCCACGTTCCACTGGGTAGGCTATTCGGACCACAAACTCGTTTGTGCCCGTATGGCGTTAGATTGTAGGCCTAGAATGGCTGGTTACTGGAAGTTCAATCTGTTTTTACTGGACAGGTGGGACTTCCAGGAGCAGCTAACTAGCTTAGTGCAGTGGGAGCTAGCGAGGGCGGTTATCGGTAATAATTGGTGGGATAGACTTAAGTGTAGCATTAGGTTGTTCGCCACGGATTTCAGCAAACGGCTCGCCCTAGATAGAGCTGAGAAGCTGAAGACGCTTAAGGCTAGTCTTTCCCTGGCGGTGGCTGGAGGGGAGATCCCCTAGAGATATCCTTAGCTAGGGAGGCCGTGGAGTGCTACATGGGCCAGGTAATTAGACATAGGTTAAGCAAGATGTCTTCCGAAGCGGTGAACATGATTTGGCTGATTTTCCTTGGCTTTCGCCGACTGAAGCTAGCTAGCTGCGAGGGAGAGATCACGGAAGGCGTAGTCTACGCGGCACTGAAGAAACTCAGCAGAAGCAAGTCGCCCGGTCTGGATGGTTTGCCCTATGAATTGTACTTGAGGCTGTCTCACATCTTTGTCCCGATTTTGACTGTCGTGCTTAACAACTGGTTCCGGCAGGGGTCCCTCCCCGACTGGTTCTCCAGAGGTGTGATCACGCTGTTGAAAAAGGGCAAGGGTGTTGAAGGGGAAACTAAATGATTACAGGCCCATAACTCTGCTAAACGCAGTTAAAGATTTTGGCCAAGATCCTGCAGGAGCGTTTGCAGTCAGTTGCCGAGTCTTTGTTGGGTCCTGAGCAGACTTGCTCTGTGACGTGTCGAACAATTCAGAGTAACCTGCATCTGATCCGCACGATCAAAGAGGGTGTAAAAGACGACTGTAAGGCCGCGCTCATCAATTTAGATCAGTCCAAGGGATTTGATAGGATTGATCATCGCTACCTTGCGACTGTCCTGCAGGCAACGGGATTCGCACCCAACTTCTGCCGCTTGATTAGCCTCCTGAATCGCTCCCCCAGTTCTGTGGTACAGGTGAACGGGTAGCTGTCTGGCGGTGTTGCGCTGTCTTGGTCGGTTCGTCAGTGTTGTCCACTGTCACCCTTACTTTACTTTTGGCGTTGGAGCCTCTCCTTCGTCGGCTGAGGGATAGGGCATGCAGTCTGGTCCTACGTGGAATCGCCGTTCCTGGAGGAGCTCGAGCCAAGGTTTCCGCGTACGCTGATGATGTATCTGCTTTCGTGTCGTGCCGCAGCGACATTGAGGTGGTACTGAAGGCGCTTGATCGGTACGAAAAGATGACAGGGACCAAGATTAACCGCGACAAGTCGTCCGGCTTGCTGTTAAGTGCCTGGAAAGGGGTCGATCTTCCAGGGCCCTTCTGTTGGACGGACGGTCCTGTCCGCATTCTTGGAGTGTAGTTTGGATCCGACTTCCAGCTTGAGAAAAATTGGTCTGAGGTACGAGCAAAGGTCGACGCGGCCGGTCAGACTTGTCGTCGACGGAGGCTGTCCATGAAGGGTAGGGTGGAGGCGTGTGCTACTTACTTTTTCCCTATTGAAGAATAGAAACAAATATGTTAGCCTCCAGGAGTGTGACTCGTTAAGCCTTTTCGGACTAACATTCTTAGCTATATGAAGTCGAAAGTTTATATTGAATCCATCGCAAGGTCTGTTGCTATGCTAAGAAAGTTGGTTCACTGTGTCGTGCGAGATAATTTTTTTCTCACTAGAATCTATCTATATAAATAAATGCGAATGTCAGTGTGTCACACTTTTTCAACTATACCCCTAGAGGCCGTGGCCCAACAGGAAATACCATTTTGGAATCAGGCCGAATCCGTGGGCAAATTAAAATCATTCCGGGTCGGTTTCGGATCCGTAACCCTGAAATTTTAGATTCCCAAATTTTCATTACTGCGATTGTTTTCAGCGATTTTTTTACTTGATTTATTGTGACAATTTTTTTGTATAATAACAATTTTTATAACCTGGAAATAAATTTAGGAATAATCGAAATTAATTGCGAAATCCAGCGAAAGTCACCCATGAAATAAAGATAATTGTTTAAACGGAAAGTAAGCACCTACGTGCATCAAATTGTCTTTAAATTAAAAGGCGGCAGAAGAATTATCTTTGAAATTTTAAAAGGTAGGCTTAAATATTAACGCAATACTTAAATGCAGCGATCAATTTTGACTTCTTCTGTAGTTTATTGTTGTCTATCGCATACAGCAGCAGTATGCCTTGCAAAAAAGATCTCCTCCAACAGAGGATCAGATTGCAATAAAAAAACAAACAAACCAAGGCTGCAGAGAGGAAAGAAAGTCCCGGGTAAATAAAAACCCAGATCAAACGGCAGACAGAAGAGCTTCCAATGCTGATAATATACAAAGGCTTTATGGACTCCTGAACAAAATGAAGGTCCAGCGAAGAGACCTCCGCAGGAGCGAGTTTAATTGCTGCCATATAGGGCGGCTTTTAAGCTAGTCTTACATATTTATAAGTCTACCATTTGTCCATGTTTTGAATATCGCTGCCACACGAGGCCCGGTGCTCCTATTACATATCTAGAAATTATCGATAAAATCCAAAGAATATGGAATATTATGGGTCCTAACCTGGCATCTAGGATTCAGTCACTTTCTCACCGCCGTAATGTAATTTCTCTGTGTATTTTCTAGAAATATTTTCATGGTTGTTATGAACTCTCCGCTATGCTACCAAAACTTTATAAATTTAAGCGCAGTACTAGACTGGCGGTAAGGTCTCATCAGTTCACAGTTAAATTGGCTGGATGCAACCATAACTTCTGGGCTATCAGTCCCTTCGCTCGCACTTCTCGCTTGTGGAACTCATTTCCGGCTCCATATTTGAACATCAAATATTTAAATGCGATGTAAATCGTTATTTACTGTTTCTTCTATTATCCTTGCTCCTATTACTCTTCTTTTTTCTTATTCTTTCACACTCATTAACTCCTTATGCCTCAGTGGCTTTATTGCCTTGCATGGGGTGAAATTATTAAGAAAAAGAAATAAACAAAATGTCGGGAAGTTGATGTGGCCATGGACATCCTGGGTTCAAACTCTTGGTTAGGCTTTCTAATATGGCTCTAGACAGGTTCTTCTTGTTTGTGTCGCGTCTGTTCGGGACATGGGCGGTCATGGCTCGCCACAACTTCTTGTCCTTTGTAGTCCTTAGTAAAGTTTCTCTTTTTGCTATCTCTCCTAATCCTCATTCTAGAAATATTTACGCGAGCTAGTTAGGTAGGTTACGTGCTGCTTTCCCATGTGCCTCTTGCCTTCAACCTATCTTGTGAGTGTCAAATTTTCCAAGCTCTCTTTCCACATTATATGACCTAAAAATTTCACCTGTCTCTCCCTGATGCTTGGTATAAGTGTCCTTATTGCTTCATTTTTTTTCTAAAACATTATTGTTGTTCAAAGATTCGGTCCATGATATTCTCAGCATCCTTCTGTAGAATCACATATTTGTAGCCTCGAGTCACTTTCGCATTTGTGATGAGATACTCCAGCATTCACTGACATATAGGAGGACCAATATTAATTAACAGTTCAGTTATTATCTCTTTGTTTCCACTAAAAGTTTCCGTTTTCTTACTATTTTTTTAATTGCCAGTTAACTGATGTCACCTTAGGAAAGATAGTGGAGTGGTTTCCCATTGCTTTTTTTTTTAAGAGATTTGAATTTAAAACATTCCTTCTCTTTGACTGATACACACCATCCTTATAGAGACAAGTTTATTCTATTATTAAACACATAATGGAGGCGGGAAAGACACGGATTCATGTCTGACTGGAAGGCATTTTATGCGAAAGTGAATGCAACAGACTCAACAGACCGTTCTCGGTCTTGACCTGGAATATCGGCTTCAGTCAGTTCCCCCATCGCAGTCATGCAACTTCCCCTCGCCACTACTATAAATATGTTCACTGTAATTGTTCTGAGGAGCTTTCTTGGTCAGTATCTCGACTTCACGAATTCAAGCGCAGTAATCGATTGGCGGTTAGGTATCCTAATTTTCTGCTTTCCTCTTTGTTATGGTGAAACACACCTATTCTATAGTTAATAGACTCTCCCACCTAATATAAGTAGGAGTAGTGAGAGAAACGAGGGTCAGTCGATGTCGGACGACCGGCTGAACGGTTGAACTCTCTGTCTTCGGGCGGGGAGGAACCCGAACGAGGCTATGCCGAAGGGCAGAGTCTCGTTCGGGGAGGTAAACCGACCCTGAACCCGTTTATACGGGTTCAAAGGGTATATGTTTGGCCGAGCCCACGGGATCGGAGATCCCACGTTAAACCGGCCTTGTGCCACATAATACCCTCGGCGGGGGTGACTAAATACTAGTCGATGTCGGACGACAATTGATGTTGGACGACAGTCGAACTCTCTGCCTTCGGGCAGAGAGGAACCCGGACGAGGCTATGCCGAAGGGCAGAGTTTCGTTTATTCGGGGTCTACGGGAATTTTTTGGCCGAGCCTACGGGCTCGGGAACCCCACATTAAATTCCGCCTTGTGCCACATGTGACTGCGTGGGGCTATTACTAAATAGAGTCGATGTCGAACGACAGTAGTCGGCAGTTAGTCGAATACGAAAGTAGTCAGCGACCACAACAAGATTACTCTGCGTAATTACCTATTACAACAAGTTCCTAAAGTTTTGTACGTCGAACCTATTTTAGGACCGATTTAGTACAAATACAAGCCTCCACTGCGAAATAACTCCACAACACTCTTAAGTACGATCTTTAAATGAATTGTTAATGGTCATCTTTTTCCTGTTCTGTTTCGTTCACTCACTGTAACCCTTTGTATCCTCATGGCTTTTATTGCTTTGCTTGGTTGGAAATTATAAAAACACCCTCTTTAACCATTTTAATACACGGATCAATTCTTATCTAGCTTCCATATATTCATAACCAGCTTGTGTGAAAGTGAATGCAATAGAAGCCGGCGGGAAATTGAGCTCGCTGCGCCGATACCACTTTCAGCGCCCAAAACCGGTATAGCCCCCGCCCATTGTCCTTGTTTAGGTAATGTAGATATATCGGGCGTAACAGCAAAATTGTCCAAATCGTGTAACTGCAAAATTATTCAATTGTTAGATTAAGCTTTGAACCGTTTTATCTTAGAAATGATTAAAGATATATTATTGGAATTCTCCGAGGTTTTTATAACACTATTGAACTCAACTTTGAACAATATCAATGTATTTAGCTCTAAGTTGAAATGATGATCCCTCTTCCTGTTGTGGGCTTCTGGTGCAGTATTCCTCTCTACTGTTCCCTCTTTTTTTAAACTTATTCACCGTTCTCTTGATGGTTCTTGAATGCACTTTGAAACTGGAAGCCAGAATATGAATGTTGATACCATTGCTGAAGGCATGAATTATCTTTTTCCTCTTACCATTGCTCAGTTAGTATGACATACTGGGGATGACACAAAACGATTTTAACTTGTTCTCTTTTTAACTGAATAAGTCAAAGGTTTTACCCATGATTCTTACGACAAACGGTGTCAAGATGGCTAAATGTTTTATCTGAAAACCTGGAAAAAGGAAAATCACTTAGTTTAGTGTTTTTTTTTATATTAAACATTTGTTGGGATGAACAATTATGCTGTTACACGATTTGGACAATTTTGCTGTTACACGATTTGGACAATTTTGCTGTTACACGATTTGGACAATTTTGCTGTTACATCCGGTCTATACAAATGCTTTTAGCAAATGAAAATAGAATATTCCTGAGGATTAAAGATGGGAAACTGCGCGATGCTCCGGAATCTTAATGAATGGAGAATGGTAATGGAGAAAATAGTAATTATTAGGCATGTGCAAATGTTTCCGGCAATTTTTTTCCATAAAGCTAATCTTTAAATATGAAGCAAGTCTCCAAGAAAGTGCTAGTAATTTCTTCGCTTGCTCAATAGCAATAGCGCTTCGTTTCAGAAATTCAAACAAAACGAAGGCCGGAAAGTAGAACGACCATAACACTTTATTCAGTGATAAACAAATTATCCTGAATATGGAATATAGAATGATATCAAAGCTATTTACAGTATTTACATTATTCGGACTGTTGTCCTCATCTTTATTGCCATCTTCACGACGTTTAGACCGTTATTTCGCTCAAGCCACATTGGAATTTCGAACCGAACCCTTTATCTTGTGTATTAGGGTAAATTGTTTTAGTTCCACGTGCCATGCCTTTTCTGGGTGTCTCAGTTTCAGTTATTTCCCTTTTGTAACTCAATCTTTCAAGTTTTTATTCATCTCTGCTGTGGCTAGTTATTGAACTCACAACTCTTTGGGTCAAGTCACTGGATTACTTCAACCAACGCTTTTATCCACTGAGGCACGTGTCCTTGGGGAAATTCCAACGTATATCACCTGAAGAATGCCGGAGCGTACAACGGCCGAAACGTCGTGAATATGACAATGAAGATGAGGACAACAGTCCGAATAATGTACACAGTATAAATAGTTACAATAGCTCATCTCAAAAATATAGACAAACGATAACAAAGCTCTGGATAATGTACGCTTATTCTGGTGTATAAAATAATTGGTAAATTTACCTGTGGCTCCGAATTGACAGGAGTCGACCGATGGCATCTGGGCGAAACCTGTTAGCTGGAACACTTGGTCAAGTGGCTCACTGCCATTAAAAGAAATATTTAGGAAAAGTTTGTCACTTTTGGTGAGGTTAGGAAGCAAACAGGAATAGTTTTTGGACAGGGAGTAGCCCAACGAAATGTTTTTGGAACCTACAGAAGAAAGGAGAAAAAAAAGAGATTAACAATTTGAGTTTTGAATGATTATTAGTTTTTTTTTTTTTTTTTTTTTTAGTGGACATTTTAAAAGAAATTAAATCATAAAATAATAACAGAACTTACTTTTAAAAAGTTCTTATGACGAGTATCCTATTCGTTATTGTTTTAGTTACTTTCTTTCGCCTGATTCACACGCTGTCATATCTAAGATGAATAATCATATTACTATTGTGTTTATTCCTTCGTTTCTTAACACATACGTAACGCCCTGACAATAATAAATTATGGACTATTCCGTTTTGATTGCGAGGAAGGATGGAAAAGATATATCAGCGATGCTGTTTGGTTTCAGTGAAAAAGAAAAACAAAGAATAACATTAGGAAAGAAAAAGAAGATATAGGAGGCGATAACGCTCTGGTGTGCTTAATTCGTTAATTTGAAATCTTTTCATTTATACCCTCTTATCACTTTAAATAATGATCTACACTCACGCTTATCATTGTTATTGCAATATTTGTTGAAGTTGACAAACCCGAATATTTAACAATGCAATAGGAGAATTCCACAGATATTTTATAGTCGTAAAACTCGCAAAGAGTTTATTCAATCATTAACATAAGAATTATGATTCATCAGAAAATTCAAATAGAAAATCCGAATTTTTCACGAATACTACTTAATATTATTCTATGAATTATACAGACTAACATCCTTATCTTTATTGTTTTAATCGCTATTTTGTGGTTAGCATTCCTCCATTATTTCTCGTAGTTTCTGAAATTGTTGTGACCTAGGCAAGGTTACTGAATAGAATAATCAAACGAAGGTTGGTAATGAATGATAATACTTAGGACAAGAACAACACATATAAGATTTGCCAGCGGCGGGTAGAATAAGTAGTCAACTGCTAGAAGTGAGTCAAGTGAATTCCACAATGAATCTCCAACTGCAGGATATCTACCAACCGCCCCAAGCGGTCAGATGTGGCACAAGGCCGAATTTAATGTGGTGTATCCGAGCCCGTAGGCTCGGGCAAAAATTCCCCGTAAACCCCGTATAAAACAGGGTCGGGTAGTTGTTTCCGTGATGAGACTCTTCCCTTGGACATAGCCTCGTCTGGGGATCCTCTCTGTTCGGAGACAGAGAGTTTGACTAGCACAGCTGGAGACGAATCTCCGACTGCAGTGACCCCTCACACACACACACACACACTGAGTCAGGTTATGACACAAGGTCAGTTTTTAACGTGTCTTCAATCGGGCTGTTGGCCTTAGCTGGTCATAGCTTGTCCAGGCTGGTCTTAGCTGGCCGAAGCTGGCCAGTTTCGCGAGATGAGACTCTTCCCTTCGACATAGCCTCGTCTGCGGATTCTCTCTGTCCGGAGGCAGAGAGTTTGACCAGCACACCTGGAGACGAATCTCCAACTGCAGACCCACATACAGTATTGACTACTGTATTTATTTGAATGGGGACATACCCATTATCGTCCGTAGATAATGCTACAACAGAAATATTTTTCGCAGGTTGCTACATAGGTGGCTGTTGCACAAAGTCTCCAGCAAGAGTCTTCCCAATTATAAAGTCTATCCTATCAGGTAGATCCATAAAGACTGTCGTTAATAAAGGCCATTAGATCAATACAGGTATCCTCCAAGGCTCTCTCCTCGTTCCTATCTTCGTTTTACTTCATATTAACGACCTGTCCAGGAACATTGTCAGATCCTTAGTAAATATATATGCAGCCAATATCACGGTTTATGGATGAGCTCAGGGGCCAGATTTAGGCTTTATGAGGTACCTGGGCTAATAAAATTTGCAGGCCTCTTCATTACGTATGTTTGCGCTCCCCAATTAAGTGGCCCCATCGAATTTAAAAGATCTCCAACTAGAGGGACAGAATACTCTAAAGTGTTTCAAATTAGTTCAAAGGTGACCCATTAAATCTGAAAAAAAAAGCCTGTTATTATATCTTTAGTTTTTTGGGTTTTTTTTTTAGTTTTATCAGGGGCCCAAGACTCGATGGCTCTTGTGGGCCACTTTAGTCTTGGGGCCCTTAGCCTCCAACACATATTAGCCTATATGCAAATCGAGGACCTAGATCTCACAGCTCAAACCGGGAGAAAGTTTAGTATCATCCAATACCTACGCAACCAAATTCATAACATCACATCACCATCGAGCAGACCCCAACATTTTTCCAGTCCTTACGAACAGTTGGACTCTCAATGATGTTCCTTGCCTCGAACGTCTAAGACGAAACCTCTATCAATTTGTATATTCGAACCATCGCTAAAGATGGTGGGAGAAAGATCGGTTCCTTGTACTACTACAGAAAGCACCTGACTCCTACTGCCATGCCCAATTTTTAGATCAGACCAAAAATAGGGAATCACTGCCATATCTGGGCAGAGCTTCCCAGTGCTCACTTTCCAGCATTGATACTATAAAAGTTGTACTATAAAGGAACAGACACTCGAGTGGATGCCTCCCCCACTCTCATTATGATCTTACCCTCTTCAAACCATTCGTCCATGCAGGGAATACTGTTGCCATATATGGTCTGTTGCCCCCGCTGTTCATCTCAGGGTTCTCGACAAAATCCAAAGACGGACTTGGGGTCTCGACTCCAGTCACTTTCTCACCGACATTATGTGGCTTCTCTCTGTCTTTTCTATAAACATTTTCATGGCATCTGCTCTAACGATCTATTTTCACTGGTGCTCCGACTGCATGAATTTAAGCATGCTACTGGGTTGTCATCTCGGTCCCAAACTTTTACTGTCGAAACAGTTGAGTGTAACCGCCTTTTCTACTGCAACAGCTTCTCCTGCACTTCCTGGCAGTGGAACTCCCTTCCTCTTACTTGCTTCCCTGATAACTATAATCAACAAAAATTTAAATGTTCTGTTGCCTTGATCACCATTCTTCTTTTTATCCTCCTCTGTTCTTCATTTTATCCTTTCCTCAATGCCACCTATGCCTAGTCTTTTCCCTAACTTACACTCTCTGTAGGGGGTGAATTACTTAAAAACAAATCTGGGGTCAACTGCTATCTTCCCTCCATATCCTCATAATATTTTCTTGTTACTTCCTCCAATTACACTCTTACAGCAAGCTCATTAAGTTTTACCTTGAGGGGCCCTTGCGCCTTCTATTGAGGGAACAATGGTGATTGTTCGTGTTGGCATCTGCATCTTTATTGTCGTAATCACTATTATTTGGTTAGTATTCTCTCTAATCTTCTTCTTAGTTTCTGAAATTCTTACATTAAATACTCTGTGATAATTCCCTAGGCACCAAATGTTTACCGATTGCATTTATTGATCCACTGATTTAATCAATAGTTATTTCGGTAGTGGATGAAGAATATAATAAGGAAGGTTACTCACTGTAGAAATTGCAAAAAAACTCCCTGGGTAGGCTGCCATTTATCCTAAGGGATACTTGGGTCCCTAAAACAAATTCCAAAGGGGTCACATCAAAGTTGTTATAGCCTGAAAGATAAAAGCCAATAGAAGACATTATATTGACGGTGTAAAAGTATTAACATGCAACGACCCAACGAGATCAGCTTTGAAACCTGCATCATTGGTGAAGATGGCGGTGATAGAAGAGCACAATGAGAGTGGGGGGAGATATTGACATAGATAGATAGATATATAGATAGATAGATAGATATGAATACACTGAGATAGATAGATAGATAGATAGATATGGACAGACAGAGAGAATAGAGAGAACATAGATAGAGAATATTTTAGATGAATGGAACATAGAAAATACATATATATATAAATAGATAAATATGAAACAGACTGCGATAGATAGATAGATAGATAGATAGATATAGATGAATGTTTCAAAAAACTGAGATAGATAATATAAAATGATACTCAACAGACTGTGATAGATAGATAGATAGATAGATAGATTAAAAAGATAGATATAAAATACACTATCACAGATGCGATAGATAGATAGATAGATAGATACTCATAGAATGAGATAGATAGATAGATAGATAGATAGATAGATAGATAGATATGAATACAACAAACTGATAGATAGATAGATAATGTAGATAGATGAAACAGGATACACTGCGATGAATAGATACTCAGATAGATATTTTAGATAGATAGATAGATAATATGAATGAATGATAATCATAATCAGTCTGAGATAGATATCATACTGCGATAGATAGATAGATAGATAGATACTCAACAGATTGAGATAGATAGATAGATAGATAATCAGTCTGAGATAGATATCAGACTGCGATAGATAGATAGATAGATACTCAACAGAATGAGATAGATAGATAGATAGATAGATAGATAGATAATCAGTCTGATACTCAACAGAATGAGATAGATAGATAGATAATCAGTCTGAGATAGATATCAGACTGCGATAGATAGATAGATAGATAGATAGATAAAATCTAACACAGATTGATTTATATGAACTTTTAGAAATAGACGTTAAGAGATTGAGACTGTGATAGTGATTTTCCAAGCATAGCTTAGATGTGGCACAAGGCCGAAAGTAGGAGGCACCCAGTGAGGATCGAAGTCATTACTCTGTCGTAATTGTTCTAGCGAGACAAGCTTGCTAACCATTACACCGCCTCGCAGTCATTTTCCGATATGGACTAGATGTGGCACAAGGCCGAAATTATGGGGCACCCAGTGAGAATCGAACTAACTACTCAGTAGCAATTATTCTAGGGAGATAAGATTGCTAACCATTACACTGCCTCGAGGTGCCCCTAATCAATATATATATATATATATATATATATATATATATATATATATATATATATATATATATATATATATATATATATATATATAATATATTATAAAGATTTTTTGTCTGTACAAAATTTAATGATCGAAATAAAAGTATAAAATTTAATATTACAATACAAAAAAAAAAAAAAAAAAAAAAAAAAAAAAAAAAACAAATTCTTTAACCGGTTTCGCTCCCACTCTTCAGCGCTTAACATGAGAATAAAGCAGCATGTTCCTACTAAAATTAGAAACCACACCCTGCCTTTGAATGGACTCGTCCTATCGAACACATACAGTTCCGCCATATGCGAACATCTATTAAATAGCAGATATTTGCATGAAATTTAGTGTTGACTGGTTCACCGTGTTGTCCCGGTCTCACTCTTTATTTCATCTGAAGGTTCTGGAGGCACTTTACATCGGTTCCCATTGCCTTCTTTGTGCAAACAACGTGAGTGTTTGCTGGGACTCGCTGTCATTTGTCTCTAGCTCCTTCTGCATATATATTGTTTATATATATATATATATATATTTTTCCAATTCCTTTTTTTGTACATTTTTTCTGTATTAATTTTGAATCTCCCATTGAAGCCTGAAAGAGAAAAGGGAGGGAAAAAACCATTTAAACTTCCCCTTGTTGTTTTTTTTTTTTTTTTAATTTTTTTTATTATGTCTTGTAATTTTAAATTCTATACTTTTATTTCGATATATATATATATATATATATATATATATATATATATATATATATATATATAATAAATATATGGATATAAATCCGACAGTATGAAAGAAAAATACAGAAAAACAAAACAAAAATCTGAATATGCAATTATGTAGTATTAATGTTAAAATAAAGTCGACGTCGGACGTTTCGGTCTATTTAAGACCATCTTCACGGACATTTTCATTTAAACATAATTAACATTAGAACTTATAAAAATGTAACACAAAAGACGATGGACATAAGAGCCCAACTAATCCAAACAGATAACTGAAATTTTATACAGATCAGCGTTCCGTTTAAATATGATCACGTAGTCGTCACGTGGGCGATGTTGTTAAAACGTATTCGAAGATGATTTCCAAAAATTAAAATATTAAAAAGTCGATTGAAAAATTTTTTTATAAACAGTTCAAGAAATCTCTTCCGTTTGATGTCGGAATACGTAGTGATCAATTGGTTCTTATATCTTCAACAAGCTTGAAGTCCTTCCCGTTACAAGTTATATATGTTTCGAACAATAAAAAATTTAAAAAAATAAAAATTTAAAAAAATAAAAATTTTCAGACACACTGGGTTGTATATTAATATTTTTTCTTTTATTATTTAAATTAGGTTCCTCGATTAGTTTCGGCCAGAATAGCCATTGTCAGGAGAGAAAAAAACCCTGCTTGTTAGTAGCAGTGAACTACAGGAGTGAATGACTGTTTCTGAAGAAAGTGGGCTTTATCTGTAGTTTTCATTTGTTTGTTCATCGTTAATTTTAGTTAGTCCTTGTGTTGGTCAAACGGCCTCTTTTAAGTTGTTTTTTTTAAGAAAAAGGATGGGAGATTCCTGACTTTAAGAATTCCCTCTTTGGTCATTACGACAGTTTTATTGGTTGCTGGTGAGGGGGTGTTTGTGTTAAGTGTATGTTTAAAAGATAACATACACTTTCCTTGAGAATGTGTATATATTTGTATGGATGTGTGTAAAATTATGAGACTGCAACACCTCTGCAAGCATGTCTGTCTTATGTAAGTGAGAAATTTGGGTAGGGCTTGAGATTTATGATAAGGTTATATATATATATATATATATATATATATATATATATATATAAAGTAAAAGGTTTGTCACTTAGCTGATTGATGCTACCTTCAGCATCTCGACTTCGGAGTTTCGTAGGCGGACCTGTCCGCTCACTCTTCAGTGGGTATCAGCAATTTACTGCTTGTATTTTTTGATTTTATCCTTTTTATATACATTTAACATTGGTCCATTTTTTTCTGTTTTTTTTTATGTGTGTGTGTGTGTGTTCGTGTGTGCGTTTGTGCGCGTGCAGCCATGCATCCGTCTCTGCGGATGCGCGTTCGCTCGCGTGCGCCCCTATGCGCGTGCGCGAGCGTGTGTGTGTGTGTGTGTGCGTGTGTGTGTGGTTAAAAATAGACTGAGACTGATCGATAAAATAATAGGCAGCGACAGATAGAAGTGGACTGATTTATATACGGAGCGGGGCGCTGAAAATCTTTCAGCTCTTTCAAAAATCTTACCAAAGTTCCAAATATTTTGTTTTGCAAGGACTTCTTGGTTGGGTAAAGAACCTTTCAGCATTATTCTGGAGTACCGAGTCTGGATCTACAGCATGCGACCTATGCTGACATTTATGAGGCCTTGTTTAGTTTCGTACCGATCGAGAACAAACGAAAATTGAACAAGGATCGATCTCATAAACGCCTTTTGTCATATTTTGCCTGATAAATCATGTGATCGATCTGCATCAGTTAATATCAGGTTTCTTTTTTTCATATGTCCTTCAGGTCGAGGGCGATCATGGTCCTCCACAACATCCTGTCTTTTTGTATAAGTTCGAATAATCAAATATACTTTTTATTAAACTTCCTCATCATGATGATCGATCAGTGACATTAAATTTCCTCAGGTGAAATGCAATGGTCAGTTTATGATATTAGATATCCTCAGATGAAATACGTTGGTCAATCTGTGCGCTTAGATTTGATCGAATAGGATGGTCATTGTGATCAGTGAAGTAAGAAAAAAAATTCTCGTTTGGTTAGTGCTTTTTGTATTTTATTAAACCATCTTTATCTTCCATGGCTTTGTCATAAAAATGTATCTAGTGTAATTTGACGAAATGATGACACTTAGGCTTTGTTTATGGCGAAATTGACCAGTGGCCGAACAAAATCTCTGTCCGGCCACCTGTGAAAGAGCTTTAAGGAAAAAACATTAAGACGCATTGAAAATTAAATGGATGAGTTTGACTAACTTTCGGAATTGTTTTGACATAATCGTTACCAAGCTTGTTGCGTAGATTTTTCAGTGCCTTATCGACATATATATATATATATATATATATATATATATATATATATATATATATATATATATATATATATATATATTATATATTTATAATGCTTTTTTCTTTCGTATTCCATAGAGCTCTTAACAATTATATAAAAAAAACATACATGAATCATGTATACAATATATATATATATATATATATTTTCACGTCGTTAGATTTTTTTAATTGTATATATCCGACATGCAAATTTGAAATAAGATATTTCCAAATCAAACAATTAGAAAAATATTAAATATCTGGGAAGTGTTTTAACAGATGTACTCCAAAAACTGAACAAGCTATTCTTAGTTTTATATACTAACTTTATTAAATGTTGAAGAGGATTCCGTTCGCAAAGACGTTTGATAAAGTACCCCACAGAAATCTAGTGGAAAGCTCACCAAGTTTGTTATATTTGGGAAGGACATTAGAATAATCATGAACCTATACTGGCAGAAAAACTAGCTTATAGATAGAAAATGACTTGAGCAGATATGCAAAAGTAGAAACGGTGTAAGACAAGGATGTATCTTCTCGCCAGACTTATTCAACCTATACGCTGAGGCGATTCTCACAGAATTAGAAATCCTACCAGGATTCATCATTGGCGCCCACAATCTTAACAAAATAAGATATGCATCTGTCTATATTTCTGAGATGAGGTATTATGTACATTATTTACATTATTCGTACTATTGTTCTCATCTTTGTCGCCATATTTATTACAACGTTTCGGCCGTTGTACGCTCTGGCCTTCTTCAGGTGGTTGGAATGTCAAACTGAACCCTTTATTTCGCTCACTGGGGTAGACTGTTCTAGTTCCACGTGCTATGTTTGATGGATGTCAGTTATCAGTTACCCGATATCTGTTATTTATATAATACTACCTTCAAGGTATATGTATAAACTGTGTTATAAAATGTAAAGGAATATCTTGTTTATGCTTGGGTCACATTCCCAAGCTGCCTCCATTTTATACATGCTATATACAAATCACCGCTACCATTACAAAAGTCATGGGGATGATGATGATAAGGATGATGATGATGATGATATACAAATTAAATCGCCTGTATCCCAAAATCCGAAAAAAATCTAAAAACCGAAGTACTTCCGGTCCCAAGATTTTCGGATAAAGGATTCTCAACCTGTATTAAAGAAGTGCAGAGGCCTATCTTGTTTCGTGATGGCGACTTTTGGGTTAAGAAAAATAATAACAAATTTGACATAGCTTATGATTTATCAGATGCATGAGAGCTATAGAAGTTGAGACATGTGATAGATCTTCACACACACACACACACACACACACACACACACACACACACATATATATATATATATATATATATATATATATATATATATATATGCCTATCCATTACTTTCACTTACGTGCTAATACCCATGGGAAAGGTATTAATCCTCTTCATTAGCCTCCAGCTATGGGTAAATAGCAGGACAGACTGGGTTCTATAGCCTTGGATGGCAACTGGTCTAGGAGAAGGACAACTCTGAATTCAAAACCTGCGGAGGGTCGTTTGGGGACCTTGTGGCACGTAGTGCACCAAGTCTCTGTATTCGTCCCTTCAAAAAGTGTGGATGGTCCTGCACGAAACCTTCACCACTGTAATCAAATCTCATGTGCTGGTGGCTGGTTGTCGGTTCGTAGGAACTGAGCTGCCTGACCCTCATACACCGAATACGACGGGAGAGTCTACCTTACGAGGACAAATAAAAAAATCTCGGGACTAGTGCTATGAAAAAAAAAAACTACAAAACATATCAATTCGGTATTTAATCACCTTCAAAGTAGACACCTTTTGAAGTCACACACATTATCCCGCATCGTTTCCATTGATGGAACCATTCCTGGAAAGCGAGCAGCTGCCTTGTTGCATTCACTTGAATTTCCTCAACGTCTTGAAATATTGTTCCTTTCAAGTGGGATTTGATTTTGGAAGAGAAAAAATCTCAGAATACTGTTGAATATGGATGATGCTAGGCGTGGGGAATGTTGTTTCTTGGCCCAAAACTGCTGCCCAAACTATGGTCACTGATGGTGCAGTGAGATGACCACACTCTACACACTTTCCTTCCAATCACTGCTGTAAACAACAGAAGTGAGCGAGAACGTGATAACTTAGTGTGCATGCGCCACAGAGTTCTGATGCCTTCGAATATCATTCGCACTAATAGTACTTGCTCGAATAGTAATCTGTATCGTGATCCGAATAGAGGAATAGTATAGAAATACAGATCTGTATAGTATAGAGGATAGACTAGAAATAGAGATCATTTAGACGTCACTCAACTTCTTAACAATGCGTTTCCTCTTTGGTTACGTGGTCTACTTAATTCAATGATGGGATCGCCTGTTTCTGCTCACTGGCGATGTATATTCAAACTCAAGTGCCGGCAGCCATATTTTATTCCTATATAACACCCCCCCCCTTTGAGATGACTTCCTCTGGAGTCTATGTTTCTTCAGCTTCGGTTCAATATTCAAATATTCCATTGATATTCTTTTTCTTTTACTGTACATCCTTGGTTCACTAATTTCTGGTGACGTGAGTACATCAAACAAGTCATACAATATTTCCATCAGTACCTCTTTTCATGGACTTACTAAATCAGTGAATCTCCATTTTAACTGATTAAGGTGTCACTTATAATCCTATCTTTGTTCCTTTACCAATTATGTCATTTTGCCAATCTTCTTTTTTTTTTTTTTTTTTTTTTTTATAACACCATCTTCCCAGAATTCTTTTTTACATTTGGTACATTTAAAAAAAACACTTTATCATCAGGTTTAAAATATTTATTTATATTATTTTGATTCTTTGATGTTCTCGTCTTCCATTTTGGTAGTAATTTGTTAATTATGGACTTAACCTTCCTGGCGAACAACAACTCTGCAGGCGACATTCCAGACATGGTGTTCAGGTTTGGCGTAATTCTGTAAACTCAAAAATTGTTGTAGCATTATTTCATCCAGCTCCTCTCCATCCAACTTTTTTAATGCCCTTTTAAACGTACCGACAAACCGTTCCGCCTGTCCGTTTGATCTTGGGTGATAAAGGGGAGTTGTAATATGTTCTATTGCTAATGATTTGGAAAAAAAAACTTAAATTCACTAGACGTGAATTTAGTCCCGTTATCTGAAACGACAGAGTCAGGAACTCCGAAATTTGGAAAAATCTCGTGTAGGAAATTTATCGTTACCGTGGTAGTCGGTCTTTTACATTTTAATATTTCTGGCCATTTAGTGTAACCCTCGACTACCACTAGATAGTATGCTCTGTTTAACGAGCCTGCGGACTCTATATGTATTCGGCCAAGGTTAAATTTTGGTAGGCGGTGACTTCGCTGCCAAATCACAACATCTGCATGATTTCACTAAATTTTCAATATCCTTATCCATTTTTGGCCAATAAGTATAACACCACCTTAAGGATTTCATTCTAGAAGTTCCTGGATGTACTATGTGAAATTCCTTTAGCATACGTTTTTGCAACGATGTTGGTATTACAATTCTTTCTGCATACATAATTGTATCATTACGTAATGAAAATACATTATTTCCAGCAATATTTTTTTTCCTTTAAATCTTAACTGCTTCTTCATTTTCATTATATAGTCGTCTTTTTCCTCCAATGTTATGGGCAGTTCTCTTACAGTATTGTATAATACATTATTAATTTCATTTTCGGTTCTTATCGTCGCAATTGCTGTGTCTCGTGGAAATTTGGTATTTGCCTAGACAATCTGTCTGCATAACTTAATTTTTTGGATGGTAGAAACTCCATTTCATAATTATAGTTCAATCGGATAGTTCATCAGCGCTGCAGTCTATTTGATTGTGTGTGTGTGTGGGGGGAATACACTTTTTTGATCCATATATCAACAATAATGGACGATGATCTGTCTGTAGTATGAGTCCTCTATCATGTATGCATTTGTGAAACTTTTTCATAGCAAATATGATTGCCAATGCTTCCTTTTCAATCTGGCTATAAACTTTTTTTCAGCTGCAATCAATGATCTTGAAGCATGAGTTATTGGTTTATAATTCCATCCTCGTATTTTTGTATATATCACTGCTCTAATACTCGAAATCCCTTTATATCTGATGCAACCACAATCTTTAATTTAGGGTCAAAAATGAGCTAGTGCCAAATCCGATGTTAAGACTTTCTTTTCGAAAACACTTATATATATATATATATATATATATATATATATATATAATTATTTATTTAAAAAATATGATTCCAATTCGTGACATAAGAGGTCTCATGTTTCAAAACAAGAGCCGAAAACTTCAATATAATTATTTGAATTAAATTGAGTTAAAATA